TTGGATTGTGTACCTAACATGAAAGATAAGACTTTGTTAAAAGACCTTGATGATATACATATCTCGGAGAGTGAGGTGTTGAATTTATTAAAGGAACTTGATCCAAATAAATCAATGGGTCCAGATGATATACACCCATACATAATAAGGAGTCTGGCTGATGTTTTTGTTGGGCCGTTAACCGCTATATTTAGAAAGTCACTTGAAAACGGATTACTTCCAAATGCATGGAAAGATGCAAGAGTATCGCCAATTTTTAAAAAAGGAAGCAAAACAAATCCTAGTAACTATCGACCATTTAGTCTAACATCAATATTGTGTAAAACATTGGAAAAAAATATTCGAAAGCACATTATTAAAACATATTGAAGAAAATAAATTATTATCTGACAATCAGTATGGTTTCCGGACAAGAAGGTCTTGTGCTTTACAACTTCTAAATGTATTAGAAGAATGGAATATTTATATGGAAAATTATTAAAGCTGCGACACCATATATCTTGATCTAGCAAAGGCTTTCGATACAGTCCCACATGTACGTTTATTAAATAAAGTGTCATATTTTGGAATCAAGGGAAATGTATTGATGTGGATAAAACGTTTTATTTGCAATAGAAGACAGTGTGTATCAATTAAAGGTAGTACGTCATTGTGGAAAGTAGTGGATAGTGGAGTGCCGCAAGGTAGTGTGTTGGGGCCGGTACTTTTTATTATGTATGTGAATGATATCACAGATAATGTCAAATCAAGCATTAAAATATTTGCTGATGATACAAAATTGTATACACCAACTAGCAAGTCGGATGTCCTCCAAAATTCTATTGACTCAATTATGAACTGGGCAGTAAAATGGGAAACGAACTTTAATGTTCAAAATGATAAATGTAAGGTGATGCATTATGGTCATGCAAATCCTCAAAAACAGTATATTATGAATAACAAGACTTTATCGGATACTCAAGAAGAATGTGATCTAGGAGTTATTTTTGAAAAAGATCTTAAATTTAGCAAACATATTTCTACTAAGATTAATAAGGCAAATAGTATTTTAGGCCTTATTAACCGGTCTTTTGAATTGTTAGATGAATACACCTTTGTGAAATTGTATACAGCTTTGATTCGTCCTCATGTTGAATTTGCAAATTTTGTGTGGAATCCATATTTAATAAAAGATATATCAAGTCTAGAAAAAACTTCAACAAAGAGCAACACAACTAGTTTCATCATTAAAAGATCTGACATACATGTATATTAAAAAGCTTAAACTGCCAAGTCTAATACATAGCAGATTAAGAGGGGCCATGATTTAGACTTTCACAATAGTGAAAGTCTTAGATGACTGTGTTTTTGAATTTTTTTTTAGTTATTCGGCATCAACAAGGGGACTTAATTTAAAACTAGACACGCCTCGTAGTAGAACAACTCATTGCCTACATCAGTTTTCAAGACGTGTTATTAAAACATGGAATAATTTGCCAAAAAATGTAGTAGACTCAAAAAGTGTTCATGAATTTAAAATAAAACTAGACCAACACTGGACCGGAGACACTCCATATAAAGTTTAAAATGTTTATTGAAAAATTATGCTGTTATAATTGTACAGCAGAGTGAACAGAAATAGATAAAGTATATATAATTAAACATAGAAGTGGTGAGAGCAATAAGAAGAAGTACTGAAAGATTGTCAAAAGAAGAGGGGCTTAAAAAGGGCTTGGCCCTTCCATCAGAGCCCAGAATCATCCTACAGGTATCCTACAGGTATATGCTTATCCTTGGAGGACTGCATAAACAGAGAAAAAAAACTGATTAATTATAATTTTAACTTCCCGGGATTCAGGCAAGTGGGTTATTTGACTTATTTCGATGACTGCTGATAGTTCTAATCATAATTGTGTGATGTAATTACATTTCTAAGCCTGATTAACATCTTAGTAACTGAGAAAATAAGCGTTACAATTTCTTTAACAGTTTAACTCCATTTTCTTTAACATCTACCTCTACATCATAGACATACTGCAGTGCTTCAAAATCATTTTACAATTACACTCAAGCAGGCATATGCTTTTCTCTTGTCGATTCGTTACTCTTATTTTTAGATACTACAAGTCAATGCAATTAGTGTATTTGTTGCATACGTTCAAAATCTAAAAGTTCAAAAACTTTAAATTACAGTTACTTCTTTAAACAACCCCTCAAAGAAGAAAGCATCTGGTAAAATAATTATATCAATATTCTATCTTTTTAAACTGCAACACTCTCTTTCGAGTATTATGTGAAGTGAGTATAATACATGTATGTGCAAGTGAGTATAATATGTGCAAGTGAGTATAATATGTGCAGGTGAGTATTATGTGCATGAATATATTCAATATATTATAAAGTAATCAAATGGACTGTCGGGTAAGCACATTTTACACCTGTTCACATTTTGATTGGATTAAATTGTCAAATCAAGTGTCGGCTAAAACTTGTGTGTTTTCGGATGTTGTTTGTCCTTGCAGGAGTGTTTCTACCAGACAATTATTTAGGTCACAAATCGATAAGAATACACGCATCGGTGAGAATAACTTTTATACAATGCATTGAATTTCTTTAGACCACACAGTCAAGGATATCCTACAGTACTTTATTGTCTTATTTCCAGTAGTGTCCTTCCCTCAGCAGACTCCAGAGACAGCTATGAGATTCTGGAACCATAGAGCTATTATAGCAAGCTCGACGAGCTGGCCCAAAGGGCATGCTCGCAAAGCGAGCTTTACGGTAACGCGAGTACCTGCTAAGTGATGGTTTTCGAAACTTTCTTCCGAAGTACCGAATTGGACACATCGCAACTTTTCGAATTACAAGATAACTTATAATAAAAGCCGATGTAATCTGATTGAAAACGGAAGCGTAGACTGGTGTCCTGGGCACTTCCAAAGGAACCATAATAGAAAGGGGGAACCAGAATAAACGGAAGCAGTGTATAAAATACCGAATGACAATTTTAAAACGGAAATGTAAAATAAAAATGAACGATTATTTTAAACTATCTTACGGTAAAAGAAAAATGGAGCTCGCTTTGAGGCTTTGCCTCTTTCATATTATTTTTTATCGCGCCACCATCAATAATGGTGTTTCCTAAGTGTTATGATATCTAGATCAGATAACTCTTTACATGTTTTGTTGTACAGTTAATAGTATTACTTCCCTTTACTTGATATTCATTAGTGCTATGTTATATATATGATCATGCCTCTCTGATACCTGGTCATTCTCACTTTAGCTATGGTCTTAACAGCATGTATTAAATGGTATAAAATAATAAATAATACAATAGTTTGAATCTTGTTCTGTTGTTATCATCCATACAACATAACACTAAGCTCACGTATAAAACAATGATGTAACATTTTGTTCTACGCCAAAAGAGAAATACAATAATTACACAATATATTTCATACATGTGAACTCTCCCACTTTAAGCGGGAGACTACCTCTTTTTGCTGTCATATTTTCAAAGATTTTTCTTAAAATAAGGGGTATTTTCACAAATTAAAGAAATCTCCCTATTTTTGATGTCAGAACTTCCTTCTTTGTTTATTATAAATTCTAAAATCTCTCTCTTTCTGAAGAAAAATCTCCCACTTGAGCATCGAAAACAGTTCACATGTATGATATTTGGACAAGTTTTACAAATAAATAGATAACAGTGATTTTTTCCCCTATATTTTACAGCAACATACAGGCTGTTTCCCCAAGCCCAAAATGGGTATATTTCCCCAAACATGCTATATTTTCCCCTGAAATACCATGTGCATGTTCATCATCAGAAACATGAGTTAGCAGCAGCTGACTTATATAAGCTAATTGATAAATTTAATTGACTGCAGCAGCAAGACAGAAAGCTGTTCCTATAGATATCGTCGGGTCATGTGTTTTGACGCTCATCTATTTTGACGCCATTTTTGTTTTGACCTAGCAAATGACGAAAACGAGCTCGTATGACGTCATACTTTGCTGACTGCATTGCAAGCATGTATTTACAACGTATAACTAAAACATGTTAAAAGATACAGACATTTCACTGAAAAGACTACACCTTTATCATATGTACTGTAGTTTTTCATCTTTTTACTAATGCAAATTCAATCGATGTTTATGCAAGCCATAATTTGCCAAAATAGCCTTTGAAAAATCTTGACCTGCACTTTTCTGTTTCTATCCTCCATTTTAAAATGTCTAATGAGTGTCATGTGACCAAAACTTTGCAAAGTGTCCTTAATATTCACTGTAGCATAAGGTGTACAGCTTATATTGTTTGAAAATGTTAATTGGTTTTTAATTGATACCGAGTAAAATTCATAATGGGTTAATAATTGTTTGTATATAAAGTTTAAAAAAGAAATAAAAAAAAATCATTTTTCAAATCAACATATAACATCTTTACAACACCATTCATTTCAGATATATTTTTCAGTCTTTTAAGCCAAATACAGATGCTATTCATCAAGATTAATGGTAAATACATTAAAGGTTAAAGAAACAGGTGTAATAAGACCACTGCCAGAGTGTGTGGCATTCCTAATTAATGGATAGTTTTATATGAAATACATTATAATTTTAAGTTTTCACAATGTTGTTACATTGCAGGTTTGCTCATTTAAAACCTTCTTTTGCTGTTCATATTACATTATAGTGAAATATCCTTTTAAAATAACCACCCAATGAAAAGGCGTCATTTCATATGACTGTAAACAACAATGGATGCCTCCACGGTCTGTCTTTAAGTACAAAACTTAACTGATTTTGGATTTTTAACAAACAAAAAAATGGTTTGCAGTGATAAACAACATGCCATAGTAACTTTATATTATTAATGATCAAGTTCAATATGAAAAAATGCATTAGTTAAACAGCTTAAGGGCGTCAAAACTAATGACTCTAGGATAGTTTCTGCTATGTACAATGCATGTTAAATTAAATTGAAATTGATACAGTGAACTCGACAGTTCCGGGTCAGTAACGAAATTACCGAAGCGCGACTCTTTGAAACGAAAGTTGAGAGAAACTAAACTGCTTTAATTGTGCAACAAATATTTCCTCCTTACTATGATATAATTCAACAATTCTAATAATTTGGTAAACTTATTTTTCAGAGTATTCATCTGCCCGCTGTATATTTGACAGTTTCGGGTCGCACTTGCCATTTCCGGGTCACGTGATAAAATGTTTATATTTGTCTTCGGGGGGGCATCTCAAACGATGTAATATTCAACAAAACAGATGTCATAATAACAACACTTTTATTGAGCATTTTTTGTTCAATATAAAAATAAAATGTAAATGAAAGAGGTAGAATATATCACAGGCAAAAGAAGAACAAAAATCACCTGCAATTACTTATTGCATATAAAAACATAAAATATTGCATATAAAAACATGGAAAGAAAAAATAGACTGCAAGACATGTATTAAACCATGAGTGGAAAAATGAAAAATCACAGTAAGTTAACATGGAATTAGTAATATCTAGGGTCACAATATGTTGAATATTAAATCACTTTCTACATACAAAGGCTGCTACTTATATATCACCAACATTTCGTAGCACTCTTTAACTGAAGTGTTTATTACTCTTAACCGAGACATAACCTCATTAATGTTTTGTTTTGTAAATATAAAATATGTTGCAGGAATAACCACTCCCCCGCCTTCTGCCTTCTTCATTTTGTGAAGGCCATGGTGGGAAACTAGGTATTGGTTCTCCTGTGGCCTCGGCAAATATATTACCGCCTTCATCAAATACAGAACGAAACAACCCTGCCAAAGACATAAGAACATGCCCTACAGGCAGATCAGCAATATCAAATAATTTTAAAAAATGTTTGGCATCTGTTACTATTGAGTGCATATTTTCATTGAACTGGTCTAATGGTGGTACCCACACCAAACAAGCATTAATGTCTTTAATATTTGTGTATTCTCTATGTAATAGAAAGAGCATCGACACAATATGAAACCCCACAAAAAAGTAACCAATGTTGAATGAACTAGCATCTGAATAGGATATTTCCATCGCTATCCCTTTCTCTGTCGTCATAATATGTAAACCCCGGACAAAATGAACCAATCAATGGGCATGCTCTGGAGTGAGGGTAACTAATACCTGCACTCCAGTTAACGCACTGTGCATGTATATGTATACGATTTAACTCTGTCACATTTTCAACAGAAAGGTCCCCAAACTATGATACAACAATTAACTCTTTAGCGCATTGGAGGTACTGTATATGGTGGCCGAATCTTGTAAGCATGGTACCCCTTGATAACTGATTTCTGTATCTCAATGACTGAAATATCTTGTCTATCATCATCATTACTGATACAAACACTCTCTGAACATCTTGTCTGTTGATTGTGTTCAACCGAATCGTTAATGGGCTGAAATAAAAAAGTAATACAGTGCTATACTATTTTTCTACTAAGAGCTGTCACAATCATTTTACAAATGCTGCACTTTGCATCATCGAAGTTATAACTATATTATTTTTTATAATCAAATTAAAGTAAATACACAGCTGAGATAAAGAGTAACATGCTGACAGATGGACAAGCTAGTGTAAGTATACTCAGAGTGCAACTACTTTATTTCCAATTACAGAACATACAGAATATAGATTATAATCTTGTGAAAAACTTTATCTCACTTAAGAAATATGTTTTCAAACAAATATTAACATCTTCAGTGTACAATCAGGACACTGGAATGGTTCATCTTCTCCAACAGGGTCTGCAATGTGAACAACAGGTATGTTCCGTTTTCTCTTCGGAGCCATATTCCTAAAAAAAAGATCAATTTAATATTTAATTATTTATACAGTAAATATAAAATGAAGCCAGCCCCCCCCCCCCATAAAAAAGAAATTCAAACAAACAACATCAACAAGTAAAACCCTACAAAAATCACTTGAAAAACACACATAAGAAATACATTTTGTTATCTGAGTACTGTAACAATATCAAAACATACAACTTTTCAAGACTGGTTGAAACCATTGTAACAGTTCTATACAGAGGACACCATCCACATTTAAAGCATCTCAAAATATATGTAAACACAAGTTTAAATGGATCAGTAACAAGGATTTACCTTAGATATATCAATATATACATTTAATTACTGTTAAAAAGTTCCCAAAATCGTTTTTGAAAGACATTCCTAATTTTGAGAATTTCCCTCTGGCTGACCCGAAATTGGCATATGTAAACTAGGTCATATTGTCTGCTAGTTCTTCATAAAGACGTTTGACAAAAACGATGACAGTTTTTAATCTTGTTCAGTGGTAAATAATCTTCAAATAATTGTGCAAAACATACCTGTATTACTTAAATTATTGATACAAATAACAGTTTTTGCGGTGGCATGTAAACAAATAATATCTGCTTTCACTTTCGTGGGAAATGATGCAGTCAAGCGTTTCGTGATTGCGACATCCATTCTTCAAATGACAACATCCGAAATCAACGTGAAAGTAGCTAAGTTATTAGTCAATATGACTTGATTATAAAATTAATGAAAAACTAAATCATTTCCAAATAATAAACATATTTTTCTGAATGTGACCCGGAATTGTCGACGACCCGGAACTGTCGAGTTCACTGTACTTTTATAAAATGTGTCGATATATTCCAATCTCAAATGTTGGAAAATTTGATTTCAGGTTTTCCCCTTTTCTGATTTAACGCACTATATTTTCCCCGTCAGAAAGCCACAGGTTGTTTTGGAAATTGGAAAAACAAATCAATGGATAAAGTAAAATAATCTATAAAATCGCGAAAATTCATGACACTGAAACTATTGTCACTTTATCTGCCAGTAAAGCCTAAAAATTAATCAACTCGCTAATGTTAACAGACATTAAAAGAAACCTTAATATAATCAACATTAAGTACTGTTTGAAATTACCTCTTTGGTCCTTTATTAATATGATTTTCAAGTAAAATTTTCAATCGTGTGAAGTTGCAAATGGTTAACATTTTAAAGGGAGGTAACGTACATGAATTCGTACTACATATTTTCTTACCTAATGTGCAAAACTAGGTTAAAAGGGCCAAGATGGCCTTAATATCGTTCACCTTATTATACAGGCTCAATACCATTGGATTTCATCTGCTTGACCTAATTTATGACCACAGAAGACCCATATTCGAACTTTACATAGAAATTAACAAAACAACCTTTCTGACCATTTTTCAAATGTTTGGATCAAAACAGAAGCCTCTAGAGCTTTAGCAAGGTTTTTCCATTGTAGGACTGTGTGACCTAGATTTTGACATTAAAAGTTGACCTAGAAATCATCAAAACAACCTTTCTGACCAACCTTTCTGACGGTGGGGGGAGAATCCCGGTATCCGGGACGCCTGGGATCCGGGATCGTATTAATTAGATATAGAGGGAAAACTAATAAACTATATTTGTGTTGATTATTGTCGTAATGAAAGGCGATTAAACGTTAAAGTTTTTATTTTTTATTGTATGTAACAGGGTCTTTCAAATAGAATATTTGAAAAACCCTGTATGTAATGAACGTTAAATTAATTTAACTATATATATTAAGAGCTATTTATTAACAAACAAAAAATAATTCACAATAACCCACAATAACTTTTGTAACTCACAATAATTATATGCCTAATTAATTGGAAAAATTAAAGACTTTTTCTTGAATTTGTCAAATCCCGGGATCTCTATATGTTTGATACGATCCCAGCTTTTCTGAAAATTTTTATTCTTGAACTGGCCAATTCCTGTGATCTCTAAATATTTTAATACGATCCCGGCTTTTCTGAAAACTATATTCTTGAACTGGTCAATTCCCGGGATCCCTATTTGGTTTAATACGATCCCGGCTTTTCTGAAAACTATATTCTTGAACTGGTCAATTCCCGGGATCCCTATATGTTTTAATACGAACCCGGGTCCCGGCTTTACTATAGACGATCCCGGGATTTTCCCCCGACCCAATTTCAAGCATATATGGAACTAAACTGTAGCCTTTTAAATTAATTATATTGTTTAAAACAAGTTTTTGTTTCCATATTTGAGTTGTGTGACCTACTTTTTGACCTCAGGTGACCCATGTTCGAACATGACTTAGAACTCATCAAACAATCTTTCTGACCAATTTCAAGGATATTTGAAACTAAACAATAGCCTCTAGGGTGTTAACATTTTTTTAAATAGTAGTGCCACTTAAGTTCTTAATATATTCATTAAGTCATACATTATGTCGAGATTTATTGAGTATTACTAGTTAATGTTATCAAGAAGTCAAGATTGGTCTCTAGTATATCATACATGCTCAAGTGTCTCCGGACATTAAATTAAAAATATTATCTGTAAACACCCACATATTTAGAAAAATCTCTTAAAAACAGGTGTTACAATGTAATACTGGGACCTAGTTTGTTTGCCTTATAGTCCCTGGACCCCTGTTTATTTATTTACACATAATGTGTAAATTCTATATATCTAATGAATTCTCTATTAGAATATTTTTTGTAGTAAATATAAACAAAAAACTTAATTTATATTTAAATGAGAAAGGTTTACCTACAGACATTCACTATAATTTAAAATAAGGAAGTGAGTTTCAATTAAAACTTAACATAACCTGTAAATAGACCATATTTAGTGAAATAACCTCAGTTTAGCAATTTTTGATATAACAAGTTTAAAGAAAACAAACACTAAAATATAATATAGAAACTTCCATATTTATACAATAATAATAAACAAACATATCGAAGGGCCTAAATTAAAAAATCAACATAAAATTATATAAATCAATATAAAAGTTTTAGTGGTTTTCCTATTAATATAATTATCTTTAAGAAACTGTAGGATATTAACACTAAACTACATCTGAACTGTACACTTATACTGTTATTACAATTAATAAAACATTATATATATCAATCATTTAACAGTAAGTATTCTTAGTTTCTTTACCACAGAGTAACTAATTTATACTTGAATATTAACATAAATCGTAATAACTCAGTTTGAATCTTTTGAAATAAACATTCTAAAGTTAACAGAATTGGGAATTGTGTTCATGATAAGTAATTTAAATATATGTGCACTGTTAAGATGAGTGAATAATCATGTATATGTAATATAAATTTTCCTCGACGATTATGTTCAGGTGTTGGTTTATACACTATTTATTCTAGTTCGATTTTGTAGGAAGCTATAAGCTTTTGGATCAATTTCTGTAACCAACTAGTACAGCAGTACGTGATCGATAATCGACTTGCCTCTGATGGGGTTTGATACTACTTGTTAAACATTTTTCTATAAGTGGTTACCTTAGAATTGTAATTGAACGTTTTGGTAACGATGATGGTATGGGTAGTTAACCCGAATTGGTTTCTTGTGATGTTTCACAAGTATTTTCTCTTTATTTACTTCC